TGATGATGATGATGAATATGATGAGGAACAGGGTGATAGTTGCTGTTGTGGTAACGGTGGCGACGATGGCGATGAGGATGATGACAGCCAGGGCGACGGTGACGATGACGACGATGCTGGTGACGATCATGCGAATGCGGAGGGTGGTGATCAATGTGATGATGGTGATAGTGATGGTGACGATGACGGCGATAACGATGGTGATGACGACGAAGATGATCATGATGATGATGATGCTGATGATGATGTTGAGGATGGCAGTAGTGGTGGTTTTGGCGACGATGATCATGGTGATGATCTTGGTGATGAAGATGAGGATGGTGATGGCGACGGGGGCACATGGGACGGCGATGATGACGATGGTGATGGTAATCGCGCTGACGGCTATGATGATCACGATTCTGAAAATGAAGAAGAAGATGATGATGCTGCTGCTGATGATGATGATGATGGTGATGATTCGGATGTTGATGATGGTGATGCTAATGATGCTGCTGCTGATGATGGTGATGCTGATGACGATGATGATGGTGATGGCGATGGTTGTGGTTATGGTGGAGGTTGTGATGATGGCGGCGGCGGTGATGGTCATGATGGTGGTGACGACGACGATGTTTGTGACGAAGCTGAGGATCACGATGATGTCGGCGATGCGGGTGAGGACGAGGGGCACAATGGCGACGATGTTTGTGGTGAAGATGGTGGTGATACGGATGATCAGGATGAAGAGGAGGAGGGGGGAAAAGGAGGGTGAGGAAGGGGAGGAGGAGGAGGAGGAGGAGGAGGAGGAGGAGGAGGAGGAGGAGGAGATGAAGGAGGAGAGGAGAAGGAGGAGGGGGGAAAAAGGAGGGTGAGGAAAGGGGGATGGAAAGGAGGTGAGGAGGAGGAGGAGGAGGGGAGGAGGAGGAGGAGGAGGAGGAGGAGGAGGAGGAGGAGGATGAGGAGGAGGGGGAAAAAGGAGGGGAGGAGGAGGAGGAGGAGGAGGAGGAGAGGAGGAGGAGGAGGAGGAGGGGAGGAGGAGGAGGAGGAGGAGGAGGAGGAGGAGGAGGAGGAGGGGGAGGAGAGGAGGAGGAGGAGGAGGAGGAGGAGGAAAGGGAGGAGGAGGAGGAGGAAGGAGGAGGAGGAGGAGGAGGAGGAAGGGAGGAGGAGGAGGAGGAGGAGGAGGAGGAGGAGGGATGATGTGGAGGGGCGGGGCGCACGGGAGGGGGGCGACCAGGCGAGGCGGGAGAGGCGCAAAGCCCCGCCGCGCACGCCCCCGCCTCTCTCCTGCCGCTGGCAAGCGGGCAGCAAGCGCGACGCGCATCCGCGGGCGCCCGCCAGGGGCCCATAGGGGGCCACGTGTGAACCCTACCCCTACCCCCCACGATTTCTGAGGGGGAGGGTGGGGTTCACTTCGTGGGGGGTAGGGGTAGGGTTCACATGTGGCCCCCTATCCCAGTCCGTCGGGTGACGTCGGGAGCCGTGCGAGGCGCTGCGCCGCAGTGCGCGCAAAAGTCGGCAACACGGCAGCCGCCTCCAGTCGCCTGCCCATCCGTCCAGCATTCGCCGGGCGGCACCGTGCGTGGCAATCCTGAACGCGGGGCCTGCCACTGTTCAAAGTCCTCTTCCGCCTCCTCCTTCTCCCCCTCCTCCCCCTATAGTCCTTCCTCCTTCTCCTCCTTCTCCTCCTCCTCCTCCATACGCTCCCACTGTCCCTCCTGCTCCTCGCGCTCATTCCCAATCCCCACCCTCAACTTCCAGTCCCTCCTCCTCGCCCTCATTTTCCTCTTCATCCTCCTCTATCTCCGCTTCCTCATCCCTTCCCTCCCTCCACCTTCTAATCCGTCTTTCCCCTCCTCTTCCTCCTCACCTGACCCTTCGCACATCCTCCCTCATTATCAAATTTCCCATACACTACCGTTAGCATCAACATCATCATCGTCGTCGTCGTTGTCGTCGTCATTGTTGTCATCGTCAGCTCCATCATCCCCACCGTCATCATCATAACAATCATCATAGAGCCCCTCGTCACCATCATCATAACCACGATCACTGCCACCATCATCAGCACCATTGCCATCAGCATCCACATTGATCCCCCTCGCCAGCGCCACTGTCAAGAAGAGGCTGCTGCTCGGCATACTCTCGCAAGCAAACGCCACCCGTTGTGGCCAAAGCCCACGTCGAGCTTCATGAGCAACAGACCGAGGAACCTGGCAACGCGCAAGGAACGGAACTGAACATGGCAAATGCATGCGGTATGGCTGCCAGCAACCGCCGCGAACGAGACGCACCACTTTACTGCCAGAGTGCTAGAATGCCCTTCCCATCTTAGAACATCCGTCCAAACCATCCTGCCGTCGATCGCTGTGGATCACTGCCCTTCTCCGTTTCGAACGCCCTGTCGATGAATCCGACCATTGCCGATCCGTTTGAAGCTCACGAATGGAATGACAAGCGCGTCTCAGGTCGATCGCAAGCGGTCAACATTGTCTACAACGTTGTTTCCCACCCAACAATGCGATTCCCATCGCAGGCGCCAAAGCAGCCTCAACGGACAAGATCATTGCTGACACGCCCTTCACGCAGGCGCTTGACTGCGAGAGCCGCTGGGGGCGAGCGCGTCGCGGCTTGCCTCTTCTCGTGGGCGAAGGGTGTTGGCCGGATACAAGTTCAAAAGTACCACAATAGACACATGCCCGAGACGCAATCAACGCCGCAATAAGAAAGACGTGTTTTCGTCATAGGGGCCCCCTCCTTGCCCTCCTCGCCTCAAGCATCTGTGCCGTCTTCACAATACTCACACTGCACTTCCTAATCAGCACCCGCTCCCCCCTCCTCACTAGCATCCGCATCGTCACAATCCCATCATGCCCTCTCATCTCCTCTCACCATCTGTCATCTCCCTACTCCGCCTCAACTTCATGGTGATTAGCTGCCTTGCTCAGTGTGCCACCCCTCCTCCACAGCCTCCTTGCTCTCTCAGCGTTCTCGCTCTCTCTCTCTCTCTCTCACCCCCCCTCTCTCAATCTCTCTCTCCCTCCCTGCCTCCCTCCCGCCCTCCCTCTCTCCCCCTCTGTACATATAGATGCATGTGCGTGTGCTTGTGTGTGTGTGTCTCTGTCTCTCTCTCTCTCTCTCTCTGTCTCTTTCTGCCACTCTCTCTGTCTCGCTTTCTGTCTCTCTCCCTCCTTCTATATATATATACACATATATATAAATATATGCATATCTTTCTCTCCCTCTCGCTCTCGATATAGATCTTGCTCTCTCCCTCTCACTTTTCTCTCTCTCTCTCTCTCGATATCCTTACTCCTCCTCCTCCGTGTCATGATGCTCATCCGCCTATGCGTCTTCATCGATCGTTCTCCTCTTCCCCATTGCCCCCTCATCCCCATCCTTATGCTGTCCGTCCTCTTATGCGTCCCCCTGCACATTACCGTCCCTTGCCTTCAGCCGTTGTCATGCCAACGACATCAAATTTGCTAATGTCGCTGCTGCCCTCCGTCCTCTGCGCTGAGATTCGTTCCCATGTTCATGCCCTGGATGCTCGACGAATGGGTTGTGTTCCACCACCTCCTGCTCGTCCTCCCTGTCCACGTCGTGTTCCTTCTGCTCGGGCCAGTGGCCGTATGCAAACTCATAATCATCCCTCCCTCTTCCTGGTGTTCTGTTTGTGTGTTGGTCGCTCTTCTCCTACATGTACGTTCGGACGTGACTGCGCGGAGGTTGTTGAAACGCATCATTCTCGCTGTCAGATTACGCCATATTCCCTCCATTGGAGTTGCATTCATCCGGCAACCGAACAAACTTGCCGGCAAAGAAAGGGTGTGGAAGGAGAGTAGCACAAGGATGAGTCAAACGTAAAAGAGACGAGGCAGAGGAGGAGGAGAAGGAGAAGGGGATTGAGAAGGAGGAGAGACAACCACAACACCAACACTAACAACAACAGCAACAACAACGCCACCACCAAAACCAACACCAACAGAAACAACAACATCAAAAACAACAACACCACCAACAACAACAACAACACCAACAACAACCACAAAACACAACAACAACAACACCAACAACAACAGCAGCAGCAACAACAACAACAAAAACAGCAACAACGACAGCAACGGCAACAGCAGGAGGTCGAGGAGGAAGAGGGCGAGGAGGAAACGGAGGAGGATGAGGAGGAGGAAAGAGAGAAGGCGGAGGAGGAAGAGGAGGGGCAAGATGACCAATAGCCTGGAAAGGTTGAAAGGGAATTGACTGTGGGGAGGAGGTGGTGGAGAAGAAGCAGGAAAAGGAGGAGGACAAAGATGTGAAGAAACAACCTAATGAGGAGGATAACGAAGAGGAGGAGGAGGAGGAGGAGGATAACGAGGAGGAGGAGGAGGAGAAGGGGATAGAGAAGGAGGAGAGACAACCACACACCAACACCAACAACAGCAACAACAACGCCACCACCGCTACCACCAACAACAACATCAACAACAACACCACCAACAACACCAACAACAACAAAGACACTAACCAAACCACCACCACCACCAACAACAACACCAACAACACCAACAACAACAACAACCACAACAACAACAACAACAACAACAACAACAACAACAACAACAACAACAACAACAACAGCAACACCAACACCAACACCAACACCAACACCAACACCAACACCACCAACAACAACAACAACAACAACAACAACGACAGCAACGGCAACAGCAGGAGGTCGAGGAAAAAGAGGGCGAGGAGGAAACGGAGGAGGATGAGGAGGATGAGAAGGAGGAGGAAAGAGAGAAGGCGGAGGAGGAAGAGGAGGGACAAGAGGACCAAGAGCCTGGAAAGGTTGAAGAGGGAATGAACTGTGGGGAGGAGGTGGCGGAGAAGAAGTAGGAAAAGGAGGAGGACAAATATGTGGAGAAACAACCTAATTAGGAGGATAACGAGGAGGAGGAGGAGGAGGAGGAGGATAACGAGGAGGAGGATGACGAGGAGGAGGAGGAGGAGGAGGATAACGAGGAGGAGGCGGAGGAGGAGGAGGAGGAGGAGGAGGAGGAGGGGGACAAGGAGGAAAAGGACGACGACGCGGGACAGTTCATCATCGCAAGCGCTCACTTCTTGCCAGACCAGACTACCGCCACCACGGCGCCCGCAAGGAAGACCACGATGGCCTCGAAGAGAAAGCACAGCACCGAATCCCTCGAATGGAAGGGTAGCCGAATAATGGCCTCGAACACAAGAACGACGGGGCCCTTCCCGAGAATCGCGCGCACGTATTAGCACAATCAACAAGCCTCGGCGCGCATGGCGTTCGACGGGGAAGAAGGAGGAGGAGGACGACGACAAGGCCCGTGAGAGGCCGAAAAAGTGAACTTCGAGCCCCCTCGGAGCAGCTCCCCATGAAGGTCACTGAGGAGCGCGCGAGGCGCGGCAGTCCCGAGAAGATAGGGGGGCAGAGACGGCGGGGAGTGCAGCAGCGCCGCTCGGCAGGCACCACCTTGAGCCACAGCCGTCGCGGAAGAGTGTGAGGATGTGGATGGGGGACGAGGAGGACGAGGAGCATGGGTGGTCACCGAGAGGAGGACGAGGAGGACGGGGAGGACGAGGAGGAGGGGGACGAGGAGGGGGACGAGGAGGACGAGGGGGACGGGGAGGACGAGGAGCACGGGTGGCCATCGAGAAGGACTCCGGGCGGCGCGACCCCGAGCGGCAGGCCGCCCGCACTCAGAGGCCGTCCTCGCGCGGCCCCCCGCAGCGACGAGGGGCCTGCTGGCGCGCGAGGCAGGCGGCGCCCGGCTCGGCGCGGGAAGGCCAGGGGGGGGAGGACGAGGAGGAGAAGCAGCCCGGAGGAGGGCGACGCCGAGGGCGGTGGCTTCAATCGAGGAGGAGGAGGGAGGAGGGAGGAGGAGGAGGAGGAGGGAGGAGGAGGAGGAGGAGGCAGGAGGATGAGGAGGAGGAGGGGGGAAGGAGGAGAGGAGGAGGAAGAGGGAGGGAGGAGGAGGGAGGAGGAAGGAGGGAGGAGGAGGACGTAGACGGATAGCAAGGAGGCGGAGGAGGCACGGCAGGAGGCGCTCGGAGGAGACGAGCGGAGACGAGGACGGATGCAGAGATGCAGAGAGGACAGGAGGATGCGGAGGAGGGAGGCAGGAAGTCGGAGGGGGGGATGCGGAAGAGGAGACAGGAGGAGGAGGAGTCTGCTGCGGAGGAGGAGGAGGGACGTAAGCAGGAGGCGAAGGAGGAGGCGGAGGCGGAGGAGGAGGAGACGAGGACGAGGAGGAGGAGGAGGAGGAGAGGAGGAGGTAGGAGGAGGCGGAGGAAAGGGGGATGAAGAGGAGGATGTGAGGCTGAGGAGGAGTGAGGATGCTGGGGAGGAGGAGGAGGAGGAGGAGAAGCAACGCCGAGGGGAGGGCGACGCCGAGGGGAGGAGCGGGGAGCGCAGCGGTGGCGTGGCGGCGGCGGCAAAACCGAGCGGGCCGCGGGCAGGGAGAGCTTGATGGCGAAGAAGGTGGTGCAGGCAGCCACGGGCGAGCTCGCCCAGAGGACGCCCTCGGGACATGGCTGCGCTCTCGCCGGGGGCGCGCCTCGGCCGCGGGAGGTTCAGGCAACGCCCCCCCCCCCCCCCCCCGGGGTCCGCGGCGCCGCCCCCCCCCCCCTGGGAGAGCGCTGGCGTCCCGGCGTGCCTTCATCCTCCTCCTGCCCTCCTCCTGCTCCTCCTCCTCCTCCTCCTCCTCCTCCTCCTCCTCCTCGCTCCTCCTCGCCCCTCCTCCTCCTTCTCCTCCTCCTCATCCCCCTCCTCCTCCTCCTCCTCCTCTCCTCCTCCTCTCCTCCTCCTCCTTTTCCCCTCGTCTCTTTTTCTTATCTTCCTCCTCCTCTCCTCCTCCTCCTCCTCCTCCTCTCTCCTCCTCCTCCTCCTCCTCCTCCTCCCCCTCCGCGGTCCTCCTCCTGATTCCTTTCCTCCTCCTCCCTCCACCTCCTCCTCCTCCCCTTCCTCACCTTGCTTCTCCTCCTCCTCCTCCTCCTCCTCCGCCTCCTCCTCGCCTTGTTTCTCCTCCTCCTCGGCCTCTTCCTTCTGGCTCCCGGGCCAGAAGGCTTGCCCTACCAACCCTCACGAACACCGCCTTCAAGGATGGGGAACCCATGTTCACTGGCTGGCTCATCAGGGCCATGCGTACCCTGAAGGGCATCACCAAAACACTACAGCCCTCCTGCTCCTCCATCCCCGTATTTTACAAGAACAGTCATCGCGCTACCGTAAAGAACGCGAGATCAGACACGACGGGGCTTTGCTGGCCACGGCGAGCCTCGGCCACGAGTCGATTCCCAGACCTGGATCCAAGGCGCGGTCCCAAAACGAGAGCCCTCTTTCTGAGCCCAGAGCAGTCTGGATTGCAGCGCCTTGAATGTAGTTCCCTCTCGCATCCACAGACGTGTCTGTCGCGCGGCCAGGCGTATCGTCTGAGACTTCCCCACCACGTACGATCTTGAAGCTTGAGATCTGTAGCAAATTCAACGATGGAGGGCGGGCCATCCTTTTCCCAACCATCCTGTGGTGTTGGGTCCTCGTTTTGAAGAGACGTCGCCCCGCGTTCTCCTCCTCTCCTCTCCTCCTCCCCCTCCTCCCCCCTCCCGTCACTCCTCCCTCCTCCTTGCGCCTCACCCACCCAGTACAGCGCTCCGTGGCCCCGTAAGCAGCCCCACCGAAGGCGCCAGTGGCAGCGTTCGCATGGCGGCCTCGGGCCATTTCGGCACACCCCTCACGAGGATCGTGGCCCCATAGGGAGCCCCACCGAAAGCTCCAGTGGCAGCGTTCGCATGGCGGCCTCGGGCAATTTCGGCACACCCCCCACGAGGATCGTGGCACCATAGGGAGCTCCACCGAAGGTGCCAGTGGCAGCGTTCGCATGGCGGCCTCGGGCCATTTCGGCACAACCATCACGAGGATCGTGGCCCCATAAGGGAGCTCCACCGAAGGCGCCAGCGGCAGCGTTCGCACGGCGGCCTCGGGCCATTTCGGCACAGCACTCACGAGGATCGTGCCCCCATAGGGAGCCCCACCGAAAGCCCCAGTGGCAGGGTTCGCATGGCGGCCTCGGGCAATTTCGGCACAACCATCACGAGGATCGCGGCCCCATAGGGAGCCCCACCGAAAGCTCCAGTGGCAGCGTTCGCATGGCGGCCTCGGGCCATTTCGGCACACCCCTCACGAGGATCGCGGCCCCATAGGGGGCCCCACCGAAAGCTCCAGTGGCAGCGTTCGCATGGCGGCCTCGGGCAATTTCGGCACACCCCTCACGAGGATCGTGGAGGGCGCCAGTGGCAGCGTTCGCATGGCGGCCTCGGGCCATTTCGGCGCACGCCTCACGAGGATCGTGGCCCCATGGGGAGCTCCACCGAAGGCGCCAGTGGCAGCGTTCGCACGGCGGCCTCGGGCCATTCCGGCACACCCCTCACGGGGATCGTGCCCCCATAGGGAGCTCCACCGAAGGCCCCCAGTGGCAGGGTTCGCATGGCGGCCTCGGGCAATTTCGGCACACCCTTCACGAGGATCGTGGCCCCATAGGGAGCCCCGCCGAAAGCTCCAATGGCAGCGTTCGCGTGGCGGCCTCGGGCAATTTCGGCGCACGCCTCACGAGGATCGTGGCCCCATATGGAGCTCCACCGAAGGCGCCAGTGGCAGGGTTCGCACGGCGGCCTCGGGCCATTTCGGCACACCCCTCACGGGGATCGCGCCCCCATAGGGAGCTCCACCGAAGGCCCCCAGTGGCAGGGTTCGCATGGCGGCCTCGGGCAATTTCGGCACACCCCTCACGAGGATCGTGGCCCCATAGGGAGCCCCGCCGAAAGCTCCAATGGCAGCGTTCGCATGGCGGCCTCGGGCAATTTCGGCACACCCCCCACGAGGATCGTGGCCCCACATGGAGCTCCACCGAAGGCGCCAGTGGCAGGGTTCGCATGGCGGCCCCGGGCCACTGCGGCACATCCCTCACGAGGATCGTGGCCCCATAGTTGTGCTGCTGGGCGTCTGGGCGTCGTACTCCGCCTCGTCGACGTGCAACGCCACCTCCTCCCTATGGCTCTCAAGGCCCTCTCCTGCTTCGGCTCCTCGGTGAGAGGGACGCCGTCCTTGTAGTCGTCGGCGCCCGCGAAGACGGCCACGAACGTGTCCCTGAGCATGTCGGGCTCCGGCGGGAAGCCGTGGCCACATAGGGAGCGCTGGCGAAGATGGTATTCGCAATTGTGGTATTCACACAACTGCATATGGTTGGGTCCTTCGCCAAGCTAATTAACTGAGCTCTCGCCTTAGCGAGGTGGGGAGTCAACATTGAGTTTTCGCGTTGGACTTCTTCAAATTGGAGCACCAGAAGCTTGATCAGAGTCCTGACTGTCTGCCAACTGCGCGCTTCATGAGCCAACAAGAGCAAGGAAACACGCGCACTGCAAATCGTAGAACCGCGATGAGAAAAACGAAGCGAGCGACGAACAGAAACGGGTCCTATGCGAGATGGCATAGCGACCTTACGCGGTTGCTTACGCAGGCCGCCAGCGCGGAACACCACATTGGAAACGAGGGCGCTTACGCGCGACCTTACGCGGGCAGCTTACGCGCCAATGTCGGTGAAGACAGCCCCGATTTTCTTCGTCGTGGCAGGCTAAACGGTCGCAGCTGGGACCAGGCGCCGCGACCAACAAAGTGGCACTACGACGCGAACGTGCCCTAGTATGGTGTCAGGGGCCCGTGCCGGTGCTCTCTCGAGGGGCCTCGTGTGCCGCCGCGGTGGCCCTGAGACCAGCACCACAGAACAGCTAGCTGCACCGTGTCTGCGTGATGGCTGTGCGCTCGGCTTTTCGGCCGCTTGATCGCCGAAGAAGAGGATCCGAAGATTGCCCCAAGACGGCCCCCTAAGACGCCCCAAGAGGGGCCGTCCCAAGAGTGGCCCAACAGGGTGAACACGAACAGACAAATTTGGACTCCTCCACCCCATCCATGATGTTCCCCTAGACAGCCTCCAGGCCCGGCCCAGGAAACACTGTGGACCCTACTGAGCCAAACTTGGTTCTCATTTCAGCGTCTTGATCGCAGGAGGAGTGACACGATGAGAGGGAGCATCGGCAACAGCATCAGCAACAAGGCGACGCGACGATGAGCTCAGGGGCTCCCGACCCACAAACGCCAGTCAGGAATCTGATGCGGCCCAGGAGCGGGTCGGGAAGGTGCGAAGGACGAGCGAGTCTGCCCGGATCCCTTCACTGCCCGAATGCCCGCGCCGCCTAGTCCACTTCTGGAATGGAGGAGAAGCGCAGCCCGAGCGCCGACGCGCTATATACAATACACAGATTGTGCCCTTTGCCGCTGCGATCCCTGGTGGGCGATCACAAATCAATGTGTGTGCGTGTTTAGCCTCAACTCAGCACGGTGCCGCTGGTATTTGTCACGTCGCGAAGCCGAGACCATGTGGCCAGGTCCAGCTGCCCCTTTGTGTGATTGAGGGGCAACTTCAGCGGCTGCTTGTCGTGGTCGTGCCCGTTCTCGCAGCCTTCCACCAGCTGCGCGCAGATTCGGCCCACGACTGGTGCATTCTTGAACTGGTTGCCGCTCGTGCCCCGCATGGGTGGAAGAAGAAAAACAGTACAGGCACGAACTTTCATGGCCCACGCGGATTTGTTGGATGTGCGCTTCGCTGACCCCCCCTCCATGGCGCCGCCTCAGGAGCCCAGTGCCGATCCAAGAAATCCGCGCGGGCCTCCGAACGTTTACGGTCCGGAGCTTTGGGACAGCGTCTCCCCGGCGGCCCAAGCGACACGCCATTACCCTACGAGCTGATGGCGTGTCGCTCCGCTCCGCGGGGCGGGAGGCTTGGGACGGCTTGGGAAGGCTCGATCGGGCCGTCGACGCCCGGATCTAGATGGCGTGTCGCGCCGAGGCGTGGTGGGCCAGTGCAGGCGCCGCGGCACGCCAAGCCAGAGTGCCTGACCGTAGGGCAGGCCAGATCCGCTCCTGATCGGTCCCCGGACGCCTCCCGGGGTCCATCTGGTGCAGTTGTTCACCCCAGATCCGTCTTTGACGGTCCCGGGGCCCGACAACGGCCCCGGGAGACCGACCAAACACAGAAGACCGCACGAAGCCAGGCTCCCTCGGACTTTGTCCCCCACTCAAGCTCGCCAGCGGCACTGCTGGGACACCTCAGACCATCAGCCGGCTCCCGGGTTTTCCTTCTTCGGATGGAGTAGAAGCCTCCGAGCGCAGTGCGGTCGTAGATCGGCATCCAGTCGTCCGTTGTGTCGTAGAGCGCGGTGAGGCCCGCCGCGCTGTTGGGGACCTCCAGGTTCGGGAAGCGCAGGGCGGCGCGGTAGACCATGTTGGTCCACTCCTGGGTGAGCCCCTCCTGTGGCGGCGCCCAAACGGGGGTGGCACCATGAGGGTGGGCGGCCTTCTTGGGAGGAAGTGGGACTTCCTGGAAGCCTGGGGGCCTTCTTGGAAGCCCTCCCGGGGGCTCCTGAGAAGGCCCCTGCCTTCCAAGGACACCCTTCCCGCCCCTCCGTAGAAGTCCATCCCCCTCTCGGAGCAGGGCGAGTTGAGACAACGGAGGCCCCTCCCGAGGTCCAAACGCACGACGAGTCTTCCGAGCTGCGTCCAGCCGTGGCGACGAGGAGGCCGCCCGAAGGCCAACCCCCGTTGTCTCAGTTCGCCCTCCTCTGAAAGAAGGCCCACGACTGAGCACACACACACACACACATACACCCCGCCTCCTTGTAAAAGGCCACCACCCCTCGCGCCAACCCCGTCACTCGACCTGCACCTTCCGCACCTTCCGCGCGGCAGGTGCCGCGCTGCCGCGGCCGCTGCCGCCGCGTGGCGGCGGCACCTTCAGCGCGGAAGGCGCGGAAGCTGCAGGTCGAGGGTCAATACGCGCCGCCCGCTCCTGCAGGTCCTCGGGCGAGCCCAGGAAGTGCAGCTCGTCGCAGTCCGGCTCCACGCTGCCGACGACCAGCGTGCCGCCCCGCTGCGGCCGGCAGTAGATCCCGACGTCGAGGTCGGCAAGCACCGGTAGCGTCTCGTCGATGCGCGAGCCTAGGGGAGGAGCACGCGGCAGGAACGCAAGCCGTCGGAGCTCCGCGCGGACTTCTTCGCCGTGAGCATCCCCCTCCCTGGCGCGTCAGGCGCGCCAGGGGCGGCGCCGGAGGCGCCGCGCAGATCCAGGATGGGCGAGCAACGACATATGTACATGTACGCCCTCCGCGGTCTTGCCTGCACGAACGTCCGCGTTGACACGCACTCCAGGGGAAACTAACCGCGTACGTGTACATATGTTGCTGGCCTCTGACAGGACATCCGCGCGGAGCTCCGAAAGCTGCCCCCGAACAGTGCTTTGGCACTCTCGCCGCGCTGCCGCCCGTTGCCGCCTCGCTGCCGCCCGCGGCCGCCCGGGGGGGCTCCGCCGGGGCTTCGGTGGCGTTCCCGCCCGTGCGGCCCCGTCGCCGCCACATAGGTTGCGCCACATAGCTTATCCTGACTCCAGATCCGCCCTACTTTGGCTTTTCTTCCAACTTGAAATTGCGTCGGAAATCCACCTGTAAGGGGCCGAAAAAGTAGGGCGGAAACTTCTGCACCCAACATAAAAAGTAGGGCGGAAATCCACAGAAGTAGGGCGGAAACAGCAGCAGAAATTGGCATCGGCGTGGCCTGAAAAGTAGGGCGGAAGTTCCAAGCCCTACCTACGAATTCCCCCAAAGTAGGGCGGATCCGGAGTCAGGGTATACCCCACACAGCTTGCACACCGCACAGCTTGCACATCCACAGCGCCGCAACTTCCTGTGTGAGGGGCCCACGCTGGCTAACATGTGCGGATGCTGTCGTTTCTCTTCTCCGAGAGCCGGGGGGCTCCGGCACGTAGGCCACCTCGACCTTGAGAGGCCTCGCGGACACGCGGCTGTCGTCGGCGGCAGACGCCCCTCGGAACGCCATCTCGTGCACGAGGGGCGAGTGCGGCCCGGCCGCGTTGACGACAATGGGGGCCTCTATCCTGGAGCCGTCCTCCGCAGAAGACAAAACAACGACGCACGCTCTTGCACAAATGCTCGGAGGGCCGCGCGGACCTGTTGGGTCGGAGCAGGCCTCCCCCCCCCTGGGCGAGCGGCACGCACCCGGGGAGAGGGGGCTCCAGCGCCGATCCCAGAACTCCGCGCGGGCTCCCGAGAAAGCTCACGGCCAGGAGCTCTCTGAGAACGGTGTCGCCCCGGCGGCCCCGGCGGCGTGCGCTGTGCCTTTGCGAGCGGAGATAGCGCATCGCTCCGCTCCGTGGGGCAGGGAGGCTCGGCAGCGCTCGGCACGCGGACTCCTCGAGAGCTCCCGAGCGAAGCGAACCCCACCCTCCCCCCTCAGAAATCGTGGGGGGTAGGGGTAGGGGTCGCGTGTGGCCCCCCAGCCTGGCGAGCGGATGGCGCATCGCTCCGCTCCGTGGGGCAGGAAGTTCGGCAGCGCTCGGCACGCGGACTCCTCGGGACCGCGAAAAGGGCAGCGTGTCGCACCGACGTGCCGTGGACCAGGACAGGCGGAGCAGCACGCTATCCCGAAGCTCCCGACCGCACGATTGTGCAGTTCTGCCTTCCTCGAGTCCTCCAGGACGACGCCCCTCACCCGTGTCCCGCTGGGATCGCGCTCGATCCTCGGCCGCACGCAGGAGGTGACGACGACGTAAGCGACGACGACGACGACGACGACGCCGCCGCCGCCGCCGCCACCGACGACGACGACGACGACGACGACGACGACGACGACGACGAAACGACTCAGGATGAAAAGCGGGTCCCGGGGAAGGGTCGGGACTTCTGGGGACCCCGTGCCGAAAAACATCTGGACATCGCATGTCTTGGAGGGGGGCCTCCCCAGAGGCCCTGCAGGGGGTCTTCTTGGAAGCCCTCCCGGCCCTTGAGGAGCTTCTCAGAACCCCCCCGCCTCCGCAGACGCCCCTCTCGGAGCAGGGCGAGCTGAGACAACTGAGGGGGCCCTGGGACACACAAATAAACAAACACAAATAACAGGATTCCCAATATTTTCACATATTTTCTGGGCTTTTGTCTTCCCCCCCACTTCCCATAGTTTCCTATGTTTTCTGGGGAATCGACGATTAATTGTGTCTGTGTTTTTGTTCCCCTCCGGAACAACGGCAGCTCGAAATCGGCCCCTGGATCCCTCCCAGGGTCCAGACTCGCCAGCTCTCCGAGCTGCGCCCAGCCGCGTGGCGACGAGGGGCTCCCCCCGAAGGCCCACGCGGCGTCGTCTCGGCTCGCCCTCTTTCGGGAGCGGCCAAGAGGGGGGTGTCCAAGAGGGGGGGGTGCAAATCATGACCGGCGGCATGTGCGCGGCCCAGCGGGGGGGCCAGGGACGTAATGAAATAAGAAGACGCGGCATGAAATCTGGGGAAACATCATGACCCCCGCCATGATATCCCCCCCCTTGTCATCACCCCCCTCTTTTCCGCCCCCGACTCTTCTGCACGCCGCTCTTGCGTGCAGCCGAGGTCCTGGTCACCCGGGCCTTCCACCGGAAGGCCCCGCCCTTGCGCAGCGCGGCGTCCGCCAGGTTCCTGGCCTGGGGGAGGAACAAAAAAAACAACTGCGCCGATGCGACTCTGTCGGCGGCCCCCGGGCTCGCGGGGCCGTCCGGGGCAGCCGCGCCCACCTCTAGGATTATGTCGGGCGTGTCCCCCTACAGGGGGATTCTCGACGAAAAATGAAAAATACCCCCCCCCCCCCCCAAAAAAAAAAAACACCAGAAAGGCAACACAAATAGTCCAAAAATAGTCCCCAGACTATTTTCGGACTACTTTTAGAATTATTTTTGGAATATGTTTGATTTGTCCTCGGAAATCCTCCTGTAGGGGGACAGGCCCGACTTAACTCTAGGACGCTAGGATCCGCCGGCCCTGTCGGCGTGTGTGAGAGGCCTGTCCGTGCGAGTCGTCGCCTTCGGCACTCGCCCGTCGTCGTCTCCGTAGTCCCCTCTCCCTGCGCCCCCCCCCCTTTCCCTGGGCCCGCCGCCGCTCCCCCCCCCCCCTTAGTCCTTTCCCCGGGCCCTCCTCCTCGAGCGCCGGGCCTGTCGCCGCTCGCCCCCCCCCCTTTCCCTAAGCCCTCCTCCTCATGCGCGCCAGCCAAAACGACATTGCGCAACGTCGTAATTGACCCTCCCCCGCCGGGAGGGCGGGGGCGTCCAGGGGGGGGGGGTAGTCTGGGAGGGGGGGCGGGATCCCGGGCAGGGGTCCTGCTGGGGCCCAAAAAAGCAGTGGGGGGATGCCGGGTCAGATGCGACTCCCCCGGGGGGGTCCCGGGGCCCAAAAAAGCCCCAAGGCTGGCCAAGAGAGCCCCAAGAGGCCCCCAAGACGGTCCAAAAGGGCCCCGAATCGCCGAACGATCTGTCCAAGACGCCTTGACGGCCTCCAGACGGCCCAAGAGCCCTGCAAGACGCCCCAAGAGGCCTCCAGGAGCACTCCTAAGAGGGCCCTAAGAGGAAAACACTGTCATGTCAAATTGGTTTTTGAAGCATTTCGGCGTTCTCGCCTCTTCTGCTTCCCGTCGCTCCAAGACGGCCCAAGAGGCCCCCCAGATCGCCCCAAGACGGCCCAAGAGGGCTCCAGGAGGAACTCAAAACGGCCCAAGAGGGCCCCAAGACGGCCCAACGCGCCGCCAAGACGGCCCAAGAGGCCCCCAAGACGGCTCCGAGAGGGTGCCCAGATGAGGGACCAGAACGGACACTTCGAGCCCTCGGCCCTGAGAGGCTCCCAGGAAAAAACACGAGGCGCACGTCGGCGTCGTCGTCGTCGCCGCCGCCGCCGCCGCTGACGTCGTAATTCCCCTTCGGGGCCGGCGGCGCTGGCCTTTTATGGCCTTCGCAATCATAGCGCACTGCGTGCAAACAAAACGCACAAACGGTCGGAGTTCCGCGCGGATCTCCTGGGTTGGCGCTGGGCCCCCCTTCCTGGCGCAGGGCGCGCCAGGGGCGGCGCCAGAGGCGGCGCCGCCAGGGGGGTCCAGCCCCGATCCACGCGGACCTCAGAGAGTTTACGGTCAGGAGCTTCTGGTTTTCGCTGTGCCATTCGCGGGGCGGCAGGCTGGGAAAGGCTGGGGACGTTGACGCGTGGGGACTGGGATGCGAACACCTGGACATTCGATGCCCTGATTTTTTTTAGTACGGAATCCCCAGAAGTCCTGACCCACTCCCAGGGGCCGGCCTTTCATCCCGAGTCGTTTTGCTGACGGTCCCGGGGCCCTGTATGGGCCCCCGAGGCCCAAAACGGCAAAGCAAAGTCCCGTCCTTTCACGGCGCGAGCATGTCTGGGCAGCGCCGATCCACGAAATCCGCGAGGAGCTCCGACAGCTGTAGGTGTGTGCCGCTTCTTCTCCCTCGGCGGGCCGCGAGTTGAGGGTCGTTGATGTAGCCGGACTGCGCGCAGAACAGGGCGCCGGCGATCCTCTCCCCGTTCTCGTCCCCGAAGCGCTCGTCGTCGATCCGCCGCGGGGGAAAATAGGAGGAGGTCGACATGCGCGGAGGAGCAAACGACGACACCCCGCGCTTGCCGCACCCTCCTCGCGGCAAGTGCCGCCGCGGCCGCCGCGGCGGCGTCGCGGCGGCGCCTTCCGCGCGGAAGAAGGTGCAAAAGGTGCTGTGGGAAAAAACACACTGTGGGGAAAAAACACACACTGTGGGAAAACACACACACACACACATCTGTGGGACAAAAAACACACACTGTGGGGAAAAAACACGGTGGGGAAAAAACGCACACACACACACACACACACACACACACACACACACACACACACACTGTGTGTGTGTGTCTTTTAGGGCGGGCGCAAACCGTCGGAGGCTCCCTTAGATCCGGGCGTTGCGCGTTGCGGCCGACCGATAATTTCGGGCGCAGCCAGCCAGGATCGGAGGAGGGCGCCTTGAGGCAGCGGCAGCTGGCCGCCGGGGGGGGGGTGCTCTCGTCGCCACGGCTGGGCGCCACTCGGGAGAAAACTGGTGCGCTCGGGCCCCGGGGGAGGTCGGGGCACCGACGCAGAGCTACAGTCGAAAACCCTGATAAGGGCGCGCGGTAAGGACGCAAGACCCTTGGAAGCCGAAGTTGGGATTTTTGGGGCGGCGGACGACGAAAACGCCAAGGACGCAAGAGCAAGGAAGAGCAAGGACGCAAAGGGTACCCTGATGTACCCTGAGCAAAATCGTGCGTCCTGATTCCGGTTTTTGACTGTAGTCCTGCGAGATCCGGGCGTCACAATCTTTTCACACGGGCATTTTCCCTCGGTGTCGGGCTCTGGGGCTTGCACAGGCTGGTCTGGAGGGGGGCATGCCGCAGAAAGGTGGGGTCTGGGGTCGCGCTTTTCTTCCGCCACGTCGGATCTCAAGGGAGGTCCGCGCGGACTTCTGAGATGGGCGCTGGGCCCCCTTCCCCTGGCGCGCGGAGCGCGCCAGATGCGGCGCTAGAGGCGCCGCCAGGGGGGGGGGCCAGCGCCGGCCGATGAAATCCGCGCGGCCCTCCGAAGGCTTATGCTTATGCCGTGTTTTGCTCCTCGAATGTATGGGATCCGCCTGGGACAGGCCTCGCAACATGGGGTCCGAGCACACAGGGTCGGAGGATCGCGCCGCATCGGCGACGTCAGCGCGGAGAATTAGGGCGTCGCAGCAAACCACATCGGCGATGCGGTGCGACTCCCTGACCCCCTCTGCCCAGTCCTCCGACGTGATTCTTGTTCGCAGCGTGGGCCCCCAGAGGTCTGGACCGCTTCCCCAATACCAGCGTTTCGCCCTGAACCGAGCTTTGATGGCGCCGGGGCCCAGCAAGAGCCTCGGGGGCCGCACACGGCCAAAAGCCCACCGCGATGTCTTGCTCTCTTCAGCACGGGGCCGCCCTCGGAAGTCCCGGCCCCTCCCCCGGGGTCCTCCTCCCCACCGAGAGCCGCCTCCGACGGCCCCGCGGGAGCCCGGCGGGGGCCCCTAGGGAGGCCGCGGGCCGCAGGAGAGGCCTCCCGTCGTGCTCTCTCGCCCGCGGCGCGAGGCAGACGGGGCGCGAGCCTCGTTAACGCGGCGCGAGGCGGCCCGGGGGCACCCGACAAAAGGCCCCCTGCGTCGGGCGGCCCGCCCCCCAGGGCCTGAGCAGCTCCGCCTCGTCCCACATCTCCACGGGGATGCCGACGGCGCCGGCGGGCGAAGGTAGGCGTGCCGGGGAGGGGGGGGGGGGGCGCTGCTTGCTGCCCCTTTCGCCGTCGGGGAGGAGGTGCGGCCGACCCTCGACCTCCTCCTCCTCCTCCTCCTCCTATCCTCCTCCTCCTCCCTCCTCCGCCTCCTCCTCCTCTCCTCTCCTCCTCCTCCTCCTCCGCCTCCTCCTCCTCTCTTCCTCCTCCTCCTCCTCCTCCTCCTCCTCCTCCTCCTCCTCCAACTCTTCCTCCTCCTCCTCCCGTGGATCCTCATCCTCCTCCTCCGCATCCCCCTCCTCCTCCAACTCTTCTCCTTCTCCTCCTCCTCCTCCTCCTCCCCTCCTCCTCCTCCTCCTCCTCCTCCTCCTCCCTCCGCCTCCTCCTCCTCCTCCTCCAACTTTTCCTCCTCCTCCCGTGGATCCTCCTCTCTCCTCTCCGCCTCCTCCTCCTTCTCCTCCTCCTCCTTCCCCTCCTCCTTCCTCCTCCTCCTCCGCCTCCTCCTCCCTTATCCTCCTCCTCCTCCTCCTCCTCCTCCTCCTCCTCCTCCTCCTCCTCCTCCTCCTCTTCCTCCTCCTCCTCCTCCTCCTCCTCCTGCTGGGAGGCCACGCACAAGTCGGCCCTCGACCTGTACCTTCCGTACGGCCGTACGCGCGAATGTCGGCGCAGCCGAACCTGGTTCTTGGTGTCGTTCAGACGGATCTGGCTTGACGAATGCCGCAGAAAGATGGGGTCTGGAAACTGGGGCTCTTTGTTTGTGATGTTCGGATTGTCTCCCCACGTCGGATCTGAGGGGATGCCCGGCTGAGTACGGCAGGTTCGCGTCGTGCCGACTTCGGTGTTGGTTTCTGACACCGCCGGGATCGTTCCTCCTTGAACGATCGGCTGGTTCCGAAACGTAAGATGGCTCAGCATCGACCAATTCTGGGTCGCCAGCGGCGTCCAACGTTGAACGCCGGAGGCGGGGTCGCCGCCGTCTGGGGGCGAGGAGAACACCACCCTGGCCTAGACACCGCACCCTAGAAACACTGAAAACGACCCCAAAGCGTCCCATGGCCTCTGCGATCCTCGATGCTCGGCGATGCCTCCCCCCCCGATCCTCACTTCCAGGTCCCCTCGCCGGTCGACACGACGCGGACCTACCGTAGGGCGGGTCGGAGAAGGGGTATCTGTGCGTGCCGCCATGGGCGGTGTGAGCTTCAGCGGCAACGGCGCGATCGGGCGCGGAAGCAGGGGCAAGAGGGGCGGCAGCGGCTTCACTCTCTCGTCTCTCCTCCTCTCCTCTCTCCCCACTCCTCCCTCCATTCCTCCTGCTCCGTCTTCCTTCCCTCCCGTCCTCCGCCCCCGTTGGACCTCGCCCCACTTCCCAGCAGCTCCTGGAAAAAGCATGCCTGAGCCAGATCGCATCGCGAAGTACCTCGCGATTCGTCCTGGCTTCGATCCTGACTCGGACCGGACCTCGCCCGGAACCGTCGCGGAACCTGGTCGGGATCCGACCGTGCGGGATCGCGGGATGGGGCTCGCCCCCCGCAGCCTGGGGAGGCAAGAACGGCTCGCGCCGCGAGGCCGAGGCCGGGAGATCGCAGGTTGGGGGTCGGGTCGGAGCGGATCGCGCCGCCCGCAGCCCCGGCAGGCGCCCCCCCCTCCCCCGCGGCGGGAGCCTCCCCTCGGCACCGCCATTCGGCCGCCGGGATGGCCTCCACCGCGGCGCGCACGCGCGAGATGTAGGTGCGCGCCTGGGGGCTCGCGGGGACGTCCAGGGCAGCCACGCCCACCTCTGGGAAAACAACAAAGGAGGTAGCACGCTGCACACAGCAGGCATGAACTGCCGGAGGTCCGCGCAGATCTCTGGGATCAGCGCTGGGCCCCCCCCTCCCTCCCCGGCGCGCAGAGCGCGCCAGGGGCGGCGCCGGAGGCGCCGCCAGGGTGGTCCAGCGCAGATCCAAGAAATCCGCGCGGACCTCCGAAAGTTTACGGTCAGGAGCGCTTGCTTCGCGTGTCGCTGCGGCGGCCACGGCGACACGCTGCACCCTGCGAGCGGCAAGCGTTTCGCTCCGCTCCGCGGGCCAGCGGGCTGGCAAATGCTCGGGACGTCGACGCGCAGTGACTCGGAAGTGGTTCGCGTGTCGCGCCGACGCATGCCGGGCCAGAACCCCCCGAGCGGCACGCCGAGCACAGGTTCCCGACCGTATGCTTGTGCAGCTGCTTCTTCTTCTTCTTCTTCTTCTTCTTCTTCTTCGGCACCTCGTGGAGGTGGCAGAGCTCCTCGCTGGGCGGCGCCTCCAGGTGGTCCGCCCACGCCTTCCAGCCGTGGTAGCCCTCCCAGGCGAGCTTGCAGGACTCGTGGGCGGAGTAGAAGTGCCGGACGATCGCCGAGGAGCTCGAGGTCGAGCCGTAGCCGGGCGCCGGGCTCGCGTCCACGCTGATCGTGGAGAATCCGCTCCGCCGGAGCTCCAGCGCGCACGCGGCGCCGACGACGCCGGCCCCGACGGCCAGGCAGTGGCAGAGGGGGTCACCGCTGAGGCCGAATATACGGCAGGCTCGTGTCGTGCCGCCTTCGGTGTCGGCTTCTGACACCGCGGGGATCGTTCCACCTTGAAGGATCGGCCGCTCCCGAAACGTCAGATGGTTCAGCATCGACCAATTCTGGGTCGCCGGCGGCGTCCATCGTTGAACGCCGGAGGAGGGGGGTCGCCGCCGTCTGGGGGTGAGGAGAACACCACCCTGGCCTAGACACGGCACCCCAGAACCACTCAAAACGGCCCCAAAGCGCCCCAGAGCGTCCTATGGCCTCTGCGATCCTCGATGCTCGACGCTGCCTCCCCCCCGATCCTCACCCAGTGGTGGCGACTCCCCCAGTGAACCCCCCTTGGCACAGCCTGAGATGACCACGGCGTCGCAGGTGTCCTTGGCCGGCTGGGCGCAAGAAGAGCCCCAGGCCGCTGCTATCGCAACGCATTCAGCGATCGTTGGGCCCCAGCGGAACCGAATCTACAGTTCATTTCCGCGAAGGGCAACTTGGCTTTCGGGCTGGATACCGGATCTCCTGCGGCCGTTCGGGACGTCTGGGCACGACCGAAGCGCTCTCGGCGAGGCGCAGCTGCTGGAGCGCATCCCGAGGCACGAAAGAATACACGAACCAACGAGCACGTCAGAAAGCATCAACAAAAACCGACGACAACTTGCGAGAACCGACGAAGACGGCAGAAAACTCCCGAGAACATCCAAGAACCACCGACAACGAGAACGTCCGACAGTGCCACCTCCAGCCAAAAGGCCGCTCTTGTCGCGCAGCCAGCCGCTTCCCCACAGCGCGCTCGGCGCTGACCGCGCAACGCTTCGTGCTCCGCTCGAGCCTGGCGCAGCCCCGCCTCGAGACGCCCTCGAATTATGGCAAGCCTGTGCAGACCTGCGCACGTCCAGCCTCCCCTGCCTCCCCCGCAGGGGGCACCCGGCCTCCCCCGCGACGGCGGCCTCGTTCGGCAGGCTCGCTCGCCCTCGCGCCGCCGGCCTCGGCCGCCACGGGCACCCGCCCTCGGCGCTCGGGGGCGGGCCCGAGCCCCGAGGCCACGGCGGCGCAGGGCCGCCCCATGCGACGGGCGGCACCCAGAGGCCTCCAACAAACGGGCGCACACGAGAGGGTCCGACGGCGCCACCTCCGGCGGAGGGCCGCTCCCGTCGCACGGCGCGCCTCGGCCGCCGGCCTTCCCGAGGAGGCGCGACTGGCTTCCGGAGCACCCCGCCCGAGGCCCAGAGGGCCCCGAGGGGGGCGCCGAAGGGGCACCAAAGCTGGGAGCACGTTGGGCCAGGACCACCCCTGGTAACACCCAGCCCTGAGATCCGACGCTGCAAGCAAGCATTACAATACCGCGAAAAATGATGACCTCATCCCTAGGCCTCACTTTCCTGCGGCATCCTTCGAGCCGGCTCGATCTTCGACGGCCCCAGGGCCCGCAGCCCGGCGAGAAAGCTTGGTGCGCAAAGATTGCGACGCCCAGACCTCAAGGAAGTTAGCTCAACACTTGGAGGCCTGGAAATTGGCACCAACACCAGCCCAGGGGGTTGCCCCCACAGGGGGAAGATGATCCTAGATTTCGGTGTTGGTGGCAATATTTCGGCCACCTTGGAAGCCAGAATATTACCACCATCACCGAGATTGGGATCTTCATCCCTCGGTGGAGACACACCGCCGATATTGGTGTTGGTGTCAACCTCTAGGCCTCCGAAACACCAGTCCCCAGACCTTTCCTGGGGTCCCGACGCGCCAGCTTTCCGAGCTGCGCCCCGCCGTGGCGACGAGGGCCACCCCCCGAAGGCCAACGTGGAATCCGACGTCACGAAGCACTTGCGACATCGCTGAAAATCACGACCGGAGCCCTGGACTAGAGGAAAAAGAACTATGCACATACACCGATTCTGGCCAGGCCCATCCTGAGGCCAGGATCGGTGCATACGCCCTCCTACCTTGGCCAGGAAGGCATATGCAGCGATCCTGGGTCAAGGATGGGCCTTGCCAGGGTCGGTGCATGTGCATAGTTCTCCTCGCCCGATAGACCCCATGTTTCTGCTGTATCCTTCGAGCCCCATAGCGATCTGTGAGGGCCCTGGTGCCCGGAATGAGGCACAATCACCCGTTGCAGAAAAAGTGCAACGCCAGGATCTCAGGGTACAGTCGAAACCGATGGTAAGGATGGGCAACCTCTTCCCAAGGGTACCACCCTTGCATCCTTGCCTCCTTGCCTCCTCGGGTCCATCCTTAACCCTCAACCCCTCTCGATGGCCAGCCCCGCTCGAAAAGCTTCAACATGGGCGTCCAAGGGGCCTGCATACTTATCGCCGGATCCGCCCTACTTTGGGGAAATTCGTAGGTAGGGCTTGGAATTTCCGCCTTATTTTTCAAGCCCCGCTGATGCCAATTTCCGCCCTACTTTTCTGTTGCCGTTTCCGCCCTACCTCTGTGGATTTCCGCCCTACTTTATGCTGGGTGCAGAAATTTCCGCCCTACTTGTTCGGCTTCTTTTTGGTGGATTTCCGACGCAATTCTAAGTTGGAAAAAGAAGCCAAAGCAGGGCGGATCTGGAGGCACATTATGGTACATCGTTCGCCCTCCTCTGATCAGATCACAGCAGCAACCCGCCCTGTCTAGCGCGGCTGGCCTCGGCCGCCACGTGCACGCGCCAGCGCCGCGCCCCGAGCTGCGGCAGCCGCCAGCCGCCGGCCAGGGCCCTTGCCTGAGGGGAAACGGCAGGTCAGGGTCGGGTCAAGCCATACAGGGCAGGTCTTAATACATAGGACGTTCAAACATATAAGAGTTTGAATTCATGATTAATGTATGAAAAAATGTATGCATGAACTCCTCGTTGTTTTTCATACTGAACCCCTGCATTTTCAATACATGATCCGCACGCGGAGCATGTATTGAAAACGGCACTGTAGGCTGTGGCAGCCCATGGGCGCGTGTACGTGCATGTGTTCCGTGTTTGCCGGCATCCGCCGTGCGAGCTCGACAACGCAGGAAGGCATGACGAGGACAAGATCGGACCAGGGTAGATCGGGGGTCTCTGAGATCCGGCGGTTCTGAGGACTGCGTCGGGCGCCGCGGTCTTCGCGGAGCGTTCTGGAACTCTCTGATCTGGAACGGACTCATCCTTTTCTCTTGCGCAGGCTGCCGAGCGTTCCAGGCGCACGTACGGACTTGTCCTTGTCCTAGCCCCGCCCGAGAGAGCGGTAGGGGGGGGGGGGACCGGACCTGCAGCTTGGGGGGGGCACGTCGAGCTGGAACCCGCGATGGGGGTGGCTGCTCTGAGCCCCCAATCGGCGATGAGTGGGCGATGGGGGGTCGATGCAAGCCCCCCCCCGCCCGAGACTCGTCGTATGGTTTTCGGCCCTGACCTCGGATCTCTGGCGGCCCTGCGAGACGACCCGCGCAGCCCCTGAGCGCTTTCGGCGGGGCGCAGGCGCTGGAAAGCGTCCCAGGGCTGGAGAGATCGACGAGGACCGATGAACTCGCCCGAAAACGTCGAACCTCGAACTTCGAAATTGCGACGTCCCTCCTCCCACCCTGAGCCCATCCCCCCACCCCAATTGACGTCGCCCCTGCAGTGCCGCCGCGGGCAGCCGCGCGCTGGAGCCGCCCGCGTGCGCCAGGAGCGGCATGGAGCAGCGCAGCGGGCGCGCGCCGCGGGCGCGAGCAGCGCCCTCGGGCCAGGCTTGCCGCGCCGCGAGAGGGCGGCGGCGGCGAAGACTGCGAGGGCGACGGCGGCGGCGGCGACGACGCCGACGTCGCTGGCGGCGACGCCGACGTCGCTGGCCACGGCGGCGGCGGCGACGGCGGCGCGGCGAGCGCCACCCCCCGGGGCCGCAGGCGCCGAGGCTGCCCCCGCGGAGCCCCGAGGCGGGCGCCGCGGCCCTGCCCCACGGCGCCAGGCCTGCCGCCGAGTGCCAGGCACGCCTCCCGCCGCGCGCCCGCGGCGCGGCGGACGGAGGCCCCGATCGCGGCCCGCGCCGCGAGCGGAGCTCACGACGTCGGAGCCTCGGCCCACGGCCCACGGCCCGCGGAGCTGCGGGCCGAGAGCTCGCCGCCGAGGCGGCCATGGAGCGGGGCTGCAACGCCGAGGCCGGAGCCGAGGCCGCAGCCGGGGCCAGGGCCAGGCACGAGACTGCGATCGTGGCCGCGGCCGGGGCCCTGTGGCTGGGGTCGAGGTCCGCATGCGGGGGGCGGCTGCAGCCTTCACCCGGGCGCGCCTGGGCACCTGGGCTCGGCGGAGCCCCCGCTGCCGGGGCCCCGAAGGGCACGCCCACGCACGCCAGCCTGGGGGCCAACCACCCCGCGGTGCGCGGTCGCGCCCGGCGCCCCCCCCCACCACGGGGCCCGAGAGCGGCATACAACCAACCCGCGCGTCGTGAAAAATCACGCCGGGCGGCTTTTCATGCCATTTTCGGCCTCGGGGCCCTCGCCCGGCGCCAGGACCGTCAAACAGCGACTCGGGATGAAAAAGCCAGTCCCATGCAGGGAATGGGTCCAGAGCTCTGGGGGTGGACGTTCTATGACAAGATCACGGCGTCGGGGGTCTGGGGAGGATGAGCGAGGGGCGAGCTGGCAGGAAAGAGTCGGGCCCTGAGGGGGAAAGGGGTCTCCTGGACCCCAGAGGGGCCTCTCTTGGCGACCGGCCTCTCCTCCCGGGCCTCCGTCGGCCGTGGAGGGCCTCGGTCGGGGAGAGCAGGAAAGGTGCGACACCGCAGGGCCAGCTCCCCTCGGGCCCCCTCGCCCCCACGGCGGGGGGAGGCGTGGCGGCGCCGGCCACGGCTCCTGCGCCGACCCTGGCTGGGCCCGCCTGCCCCGCCTGGGCTCCTCCCTGCGTGGGGCTGCTGCGCACCACCTTCGGACACAGGAGGTTCGCAGCGGGCACGCTCCTCTCGCCGTCGCTCGGACATCCATTTCCCGTGCTTTTGTCGGTTTCGTGCGTGTTTTCGATGGTCCAGGATGGTCCTCGATGGTCCTCGCCGAGAAAAAATGCACACGTCCGAGCGATGCCGAGTCCTCGGGAATGTGACACGGGCGGGAGGAGGAGGAGGAGGAGGAGGAGGAGGAGGAGGAGGAGGAGGAGGAGGAGGAGGAGGAGGAGGAGGAGGGTGGGCCCTCTCCCGCCTGGCGAGGGAGGCTCTTGCCAACAGGCAGCGTCTGAGAAGTGGGCACGGATCCAGGGGTCGCGAGGATGAGGAGCAGCTGCAGGAGGAGCAGCAGGCAGAACAGCATGATCAGGAGGAGGAGGAGGAGGAGGAGGAGGAGGAGGAGGAGGAGGAGCAGGAGGACGACGACGGCGAGGTGAAAGAGGAGGACAAGGAGGGGCAGGAAAAGCAGAAGCGGGAAGGAGGAGGACGACGAGGGCGAGCAGGAGGAGACGCGGCAGCAGCAGCAGTGTGGGTGGGATCAATGCTAGTGGCCTCGGCTCGAGGGCGTGGGTGTCGCGAGGAACAGGAGCAGTAGCTGGCAGGGGACACCAATCAGCGATGAAGCCGCGCTTCCTGCTGGCTGTCTCCTTTCAAGCGCTCGCTTGGGGAACGAATGAGGCGGCGAAGAGAAGAGAACGCAACCATCGACAACCGTCCCGCTCGCCACGCGTGACCAGCGCAAGATCACAGAGAAGGAGGCGGCACGACGGACGTGACCAACGCGAGATCACAGAGAAGGAGACGGCACGATGCAACCCCCCGGGTGCAAAGGGCGCGTCCTGGGTGTAGTACGCGAGCGCCTGGAGCATCTGGTTCATGCCCAGCGCCTGGTCTCGGGACCGCCGCCGCCGCGGCCGAGCCCCCCATCATGTTCCCGCTCTTGCTGCTGAGACGGAACATCAAGTTTGCTGTTGTATGCCAACTGGTACTCAGAACAGAAAAGCGCCGAGGTGAAGCATCACATGCTTTTTTTATGCCAATCGGTAATCATCAAACAACGCTTGGGACAACACATCACGTGCGCTTCTGGCTACCGGTTGACATTGCAGAACATGTCATGCTTGTTGTCATGAATAATGCTTGTTATGACTACTAGCCGGCCGCTCTGCGGTTGATCGGGAGTTTCTGTATATAGAAGAAGGTGCGTGCGCTTGTTGGCGAGGGTGAGGATGAGGTCCTCCTCCTCCTCCTCCTCCTCCTCCTCCTCCTCCTCCATCCTTCTCTTGCCTCCGTCTGTCCTCCTCCACCCCGCAGCTCCATCATCTTCTCCTCCTCCTCCTCCTCCTCCTCCTCCTCCTCCTCCTCCTCCTCCTCCTCATTCCTCCTCTGGGCACCTCCCCCGGGGCGCGGATCCACCGGATCTGTCCGGATCTGTCCGGAAACGGTGCCGGAGGCCGGTTTTGTGAGGATGTCTCAAGCGAGGGCGCCGGTTTGGGATCGGGGATCCCGGATCTGTCCGGAAACGGTTGCCGGATGGGCCGCCTCGTCCGGGGCTCCTCCGTCCGAAACGGTCTCTGGGCTCCTCTGGGCACCTCCCCCGGGGCCGTCTCAGGCGAGGGATTCGAGGAGCCGAGGGCGCCGGTTTGGGATTTTCGGATCCGTCCGGTCCCCGGATCCAGCGGATCCGTCCGGATCCGTCCGGAAACGGTGCCGGAGGCCGCTCTGGGCTCCTCTGGGCACCTCCCCCGGGGCCGGTTTTGCGGGGATGTCTCAGGCGAGGGCGCCGGTTTGGGATTCGTCCCCGGATCCAGCGGATCCGTCCGGATCCGTCCGGAAACGGTGCCGGAGGCCGCTCTGGGCTCCTCTGGGCACCTCCCCCGGGGCCGGTTTTGCGGGGATGTCTCAGGCGAGGGCGCCGGTTTGGGATTCGTCCCCGGATCCAGCGGATCCGTCCGGATCCGTCCGGAAACGGTGCCGGAGGCCGCTCTGGACTCGTGCTCTTCGCGCCGGGGGTGAGGATGACGTGAGTTCCACAGAAACTCCCTCAAACCACCGTTTCTTGTCAAGACTACTGGCTGTCCTCAAACACGCGTGATGTTTCACCGCTGCGTTTTCCCACCTGACAGGTACGGGTCGAACAGACCTCTCAACCCGACCACCCTGCATACCGCGGGCCGCCAAATCCCCAGGTCCACCGAGAATCCCCCGCGACGCCGGCTTCGCGCCGACCCGGCCATTCTGCATATTGCGGCCGCCAGGTCCCCAGATTCACAGAGAATCCTCCGAGACGCCCGCCTCGCGTTGACGACGAACACGACAGAGCCTGACAGAACTGAGCAGAACGTAACATGATAAAGCAGAGCATCGCAGAACATAGCATGACAGAACAGAGCATAACATGACGCAGCATCACATAAGAGATCTTAGCATAGCAACACTGTTGCATAGCACCGCATATTACGACATAACGGATCGTACAGAACACAGCATAACATCGCACATCATAACATTGTAGACATACCATAGCATGACAAAACAAATCGCAACGTGGCACGAATTAGCATCACACAACATACCATACCATAACACAGTATATCATAACGTAGCAAAACATAGCATACCATTGCAACTCATGCAATGCCAGAGCGCGGCATACCATGCTACTATAAATCAGAACATAATATAACGCAGCAAGACAAAATAACAAGGCATGGCATGACATGCCGGACCATAGCATTACACAACACATAACAACGCATGTGATGACAGAGCCGATCACACACGACATAGCAAACCAGGACACATCGTAACAGAGCATAAGTGATCAAAAAATAGCATCGCATGCGATACCAACACATAACATAAACGAACATACCATAACGGAACTTACCATGACATACCATGGCATAACATAACATACCACAGCATCACGGATCAGAGCAGCCCATACTACTACAAAACATATCATAGCAGCGCGCGGTATCACATGTTATGAAATAGCAAACCGTAGCATAGCATAACATACCATATCACAGCATGTCATGGCGGGCCAGAGCATGACAGAACGCAGCATTGAGCATACGTCAACATAACAATGCAACGACGGCAAGGAATGCGCTGCAGTTTCATACCATTTACTACATTGCAAAGGAGTTGCTTGACATACCAAAGCATAGCAGACGATACTGAATATAGCACGACGTAACGTGATCAACATCACACAAACCACAGACTATACAATAGCCCCAAAGACCTGATCATGCAAAAACACGGCGCCACATAACATAAGATAACACACCAACGCATATTGTGACAGAAGTGAGCATACGTAACATAGCAGACTGTAACAGAAGAGAAACACATGTGAATGAGGACATTTCAACATGATATATTGTAGTGAATCGCGACGTGCGCGCCGAGGTCAGGCTGGCCACAGGAGCAAACAGGCGCAGCAATGAACGATCGGACAACGTATCGATCGTGACAGGCGTCACGGCGTCACGTCGGCACCTCGAGAACAGAACAGACACCATTGAACACAACAACGTAGAACACTACAACATCAACGTGATATAACGACTAGAGCACACAGTAACCAACATAGCATACCATAATCGTTGTACTACTGCTACCCCTACGTCAACGGTTTAGGTATACCATAGTTGACTACAACTCTCTAACTTCATGGAAGAGACATGCCATAACATAGCGAGTCGTAATGTTCCATCAAGAACTGAGCATACCCCAAACATTACCAGTCTACTAACCCACCATCACCTAACTGGACAGCGCATACGTATTATGTCCTAACGTGATGCCGCTGAGCAGATCATATCATATCATAACAGGAAATACGCTGACAAACGTGAGCATTCCCAAACATCTGTATGTCATCAGAAGAGAAACACAATCTTTGAAATTTAAGGATACCGGAGAAAAGCCCCAATCATGGGGCTATAGGGCTATAGGGCTATAGGGCTATAGGGCTATAGGGCTATGGGGCTATATGCCCGGGTGCCCGGGCACCCGGGCACCCCCGGGCACGCCCGGGCACCCGGGCGCCCGGGCACCCGGGCACCCCCGGGCACCCGGGCGTGCGGCGAAAATCGGCGGCAAACCTAACCTAACCATATGAATCCGCTAGGACCCCTGCAGAGGCAAGCTCTGATTGGGGAACTTCATACCATACTGAACCGTACCATAACATAACTTGCGCGACGTGCGCGCCGAGGCCAGCCCGGCCACAGGTACAAACAGGCGCAGCAACGACCGATCGGAAGACGGCCGACAACATAACATATGATATTGTAGCATAGCAGAATACAATCTTATCGAGCATCGCATACTTGAACACTGTTAACTACAGCAGCGACAGTTTAAGGGCGCACTGTCAAACGCAGCATCCGCGCCTGGTCTTAAGAAAAAACAGGCGCGGCAACGAGCAGGCCCCGCGCGCATCGTTCCAGTAGGCGCGAGCACCGTTGGGAACAAACGCTGGAGGTTTCGGTGGCGATCGCTTGAAGCGAAATAATGCGTGTGTGTGTGTGTGTGTGAACGTGTGTGTGTGTGTGTGTGTGTGCGTGTGTGTGTGAACGTGAACGTGTGTGTGTGAACGTGTGTGTGTGTGTGTGTGTGTGTTTACGACTCCTGGTTGTTATAACTCCCCCAAGAAGAAGCAGCGTTTGATGGTTCACGCACAGCGCCTGATTTCGGGACCGCCGCCGCCGCTGCCGAGCCCCCCGTCGTGCTCCCGCTCCCGCTGCCGCTCTCCCGCTCCCTTCAGACTCCCCCCCCGCCGCCCCCATCGCCTCTCCTCCCGCCTTCCCTCCTCCTCCACCCCGTGGTCCCACATCCCTCCCTCGCCTTGGCCTTCCCCCCTCCCTCGCCTTTCATTCCACATCCCTCCCTATCCCACGTCCCTCCTCGTCCCTCATCCTTCCCCCCGTCCCCTCTGTCCTCATCCCTCTCTTGCCCCCTGCCCCCCCTTCTCCTCATCCCCCGTCTTTCCCTCCTCCTCCTCCTCCTCCTCATCCTCATCCTCCTTTTCCTTGATATCCTCCTTACTTTTCGAAGAAAGCGTCCCTGTCCAGGTTGCGCGGGAGAGACTCCGGACATATATGCGCCAACGGACTACTTCATACATTAAACACGCCTCCCTTCGCTCCGCCCCTTCCTTCTTTTCCTACTCCTTTGCGTCCATCATCTGCTTCATCCATCATCCCTCACCCTTCCCTCCCTCAGCACATCCTCCACCACCTGTTCTGTCAGGGAGCCACTAACACTAATACAGACGCGTCCCAAACACCCGCATGGTTGATCGGCTTGCACGGTTGAGGTCACGAGGTTGAGGGGAACGATGTATGTCCAAGAGCGCACATGCTACGAGTGTGGGACGTGGCTAACAGACTCGCACGGTGAACGTCAGTTTGACAGAAAGGCGCGAAGCCGCTCACCCGAGATGACGCGTAGGCATAGGCAAAACGGGTTGTGCCCATTGGCACGCTCGCGAGAAGCGAGAAATCACCACTTCACCTCCTCCCTCTCCTCCCTCCGTTTCTGTCCTCCTTCTCATCCGTGCCCCTTTTCCGCTTCATCCTGCTCCTCCTGCGGAAGAAGTCCACCACCACAGGCGCCACTAAGTCTCTAGCAGGCGACAGTTTGACGGCACTCTGTCTTGGTCTTGCTGCTCCCCCTCTCCCTCCCCCTCCCCCCTCCTCCTCCCCCTCCTCCTCCCCCTCCTCCTCCTCCTCCTCCCCTCCTCCTCCTCCTCTCTCCTCCTCCTCCTCCTCCTCCTCCTCCTCCCTCCTCCTCTTCCTCCTCCTCCTCCTCCTCCTCCTGTTCCTCCCCTCCTCCTCTTCCCCCTCTCACCTCCTTCTCCTCCTGCTCCTCCTCCTCCTCTCGTCTCTCTCCTCCTCCTCCTCCTCCTCCTCCTCCTCCTCCTCCTCCTCCTCCTCCTCCTCCTCCTCCTCCTCCTCCTCTCCTCCTAATCCCTCCTCCGTGACCCATCTGGGCGGCCCCGACCTCCCGGCCCCTGGAGGGCCGACGAGGAAGGCAGGCCGAGGAAGGCCGCCGAGGAGCGCCGCCGAGGAGAAGCGCCGTCGACGCAACTCCGCCGAGGAGTGCCGCCGAGGAGCGCCGCCGAGGGGGCGCCGAAAGGCCGCCGAGGCAGCCGACGAAATGGGGGGCGGCGCCATGCAGATGCGCGAATAGGCGTCGTAGGACAGCCAGCGGCTCTGCTCGCTGAGGAAGCGGCGGAAGTGCTCCCGGTCGGGCTCGGGACTGCCTGCTCCGGGGGGGGGCCGGCGGGGGCAGGACAACTCGGGTGCCCCTGGGCCGAGCAGTGAGGGACGAGGGAGGGAGGGAGGGAGGAAGAAAGGGAGGGGAGAGGTCGAGGAGCGCGACGTCGAGGAATAGGTCGAGGAGGAGGAGGAGGAGGAGGAACAGGAGAAGGAGAATGAGGAGAAAAAAAATGGAGGAGAAACAACGGAGGCGGAGGTCGAGGAGGTCGAGGAGGAGGAGGAGGAGGGAGGAGGAGGGAGGAGGAGGAGGAGGAGGAGGAGGAGGAGGAGGGAGGGGGGGGGGAAGGGGAAGGGGAGAGAGGAGGAGACGAGGGAGGAGGGGGGAGGGGGGGAGGAGGAGGAGGAGGAGGGAGTAGGAGGAGGAGGAAAGAGCAGGAGGAAGAGGAGAGAAAGAGGAGGAGGAGGAGGAGGAGGAGGAGGAGGAAACGGAGGAGGAAAGGGAGGAGGAAACGGAGGAGGAGGAAGAGGAGGAGGAAGAGGAGGAGGAAGAGGAGGAGGAAGAGGAGGAGAGGGAGGAGAGGAGGAGGATGAGGAGAAGGACGAGGAGGAGGAGGAGGAGGAGGAGGAGGAGGAGGAGGAGCAGCAGGATGATGATGATGATGATGATGATGATGATGATGATGATGATGATGATGATGATGATGATGATGATGATGATAATGATGATAATGATAATGATAATGATAATGATGATGATGATGATGATGATGATGATGATGATGATGATGATGATGATGATGATGATGATGCCGGTAACATCGAGAGTGTGCAATGCCACACTCTAGCGACAGAGGCGCGCAGCCGCGTGCGCGAGGCGATCCGTAAGGCCACTAAGTACATCATGCTGCCGTAATTGTAAGTGCCGGAGTGCGTCGCTGAAGTGTGAGTGCTTGATCTTGTGGTACGTCTCGTATGCGATGAAAGTTGTCTTGAGCTCGTCGGCCGTCTTGGCATTCAAGGCGAGCGTATCGAACCGCTTCGGCGGCGGGCGCTTCCCGATGAGGCTGTACACGGTGGACCAGAGCGGGAAGCAGTCGGCGTAGTGCGCCCACTCGTCCCGGGCGGGACAACCGAACAGGCACGGGTGAACGACGGCCTCGTGGAGGCGCGCTGATGTCGTCCATCCCCCCATCCATGTCTTGAAGCAGGAGCCGGCGACCCGGGCGTGGCTCTTCTTCATGATGTTCATGAGGTTCGTGACATCGATGCTGTTGATGTCGTCGACGGCGTCGGGCCAATGGAGACGCAGGCGGGCCTTGAGTGCATCACCTGGGGTGGAATTGAAAATCACCCTCTTCATCGTGTGGTAGGCGGTGCGCTGCAAGCCGGAGGAGAGCCCTCGAAGAGAACTGTGCGAGCATGGGCCGTGCAGCGCCATGATGATGATGATGATGATGATGATGATGATGATGATGATGATGATGAAGATGATCATGAGGAGGAGGAGGAGGAGGAGGAGGAGGAGGAGGAGGAGGAAGAGGAGCAGAAAGAGGAGGAAGAGGAGGAGGAGGAAACGGAGGATGAGAAAACGCAGGAGGAAACGGAGGGAGGAGGAGGAGGATGAGGAGGAGGAAAAGGAGGTGGTAGTGGAAAAGGGGGCCTCCTCGTCCTCCACCCCACCTCCGAGGAAGACCGCGAGCGGGTATGCTCCAAATGTTCCTCCTCCTCCTCCTCCTCCTCTTTCTCCTCCCTCCTCGCTCCTCCCCCTCCTCCCTCCTCCTCCTCCTCCCTCCTTCTCCTCGCCTCCTCCCCTCCTCCCCTCCTCCTCCTCCTTATCCTCCTTGTCTCCTCCGTTTCCTCCTCCTCCTCCTCTTCCTCCTCCTCCTCCTTATCCTCCTTGTCCTCCTCCTCCTCCTCCTCCTCCTGCCCTGGCGCCCGCCGCCTCTCGCCGCCCAGGGGCGCCTGCGTCAGCACCGTCCGCGGCGTCCTGGGCGGCAGGCCCCGCCCAGCAGGGGGGCGCGGCCGCGCGCGCCCGCTCCCCCTTGCCGCGCCTCCGCCAGGAGGTTTCTGTTGTTTTGTGTTGCTCGCCTGATGCTTGTACTATCTACCTCTCTCTCTCTCTCTCTCTCTCTCTCTCTCTCCTCTATATACATATATATATAATATGTGCATACATATATATATATATATATATACACGCACATATACATATACATATACACATGTATGTGTATATAAGATCCCCCTCTCTTTCTGTCTGCCTCGCTCTGCCCCTCCACTGCCCAATTTTATACGTGTACACATGTACATACACACAAGAGTTCAAGGCTCGCTGCGCTTCACCTTCTACGATTTGCCCTTGCACCTACGATGTGTGTATGGGTGTCGGCGTTGCGGTATGGATGGTGATGTCGCCCCTGCATGGCGAGTTCAGCCACTGCGTGCGCGAGGTAGCCAAGGAAAAACCGTCCTCCGATCCAGGGTAGCCGCGCGCAGTGGCACGATTTTTGTGCAGACGTGGATGCTCGAGGAAGCGACACCAGGGCCTCGAGATGTGGGGGCGATCCCGCCCCACGGTCGGCGCGGATCGGCTCGGGATACGTTCCACCGAACGCGTTCGCCAGTCCCCATCCTCAAGGCGAAGGGCAGACACAGCACGTCAACAGATACCTGCCGCGACAACGTGCGCACTGGTACCTGACGTCGCGTGAAGCGGTCAGCCTTGCACGATCGCGGCCCTGCACGGGCCAAGCCAGGGCTTCTGGTGGCCTTCAACCCTGGGCGACCGCGTTAGGGCCGCTGCCGTGTCGAGACGGCACGAGCCTGCCTGGCACTGGGCTCGAGTGCTTGCCTCGGTCGCTGGGCCAGAGGCGGCAGGTGCGACCACGCGACGGCGCCGCTCAGGCACGCGGCCGATCGACAGTGGATACACACCCCGTCTCCGTTCAGGCTCTCAGGGCCGCTGAGAAGGTGGCCATGCAGCAGCGAAGGCACTGCTAGTGCACACATCCCCTTGCCGTCCTCCCTCCCGCGTCCCCCCATGCCTGTCCCCTCCCCCATTCGCCCTCCCAGCGCCTTCCCTTTTGCTTTTCTTTCATGCAGCAGAGGCACGATGCGTCAAGCACACAGCCAGAACTAAGAACTTTATAGACATAGTGATACTGCCCGCTGCAAGGTAAAATCTGCGCGCCAACCCACCCATTCCAACTCGAATGCCATAAACAACTATTCGATCGCCCACTCCAGCGCTAGCGCTTCAGCCAACAAAAATGGTTCCATTCGTCCGAAACACATGCCGGCACGATACAGAAGTTCCCGTCCAGGATACACGTAAATAGCCATAGCATTTGCGGCACCACGCCCTCCACGCAAAGCTCCGTCCACGCACAGCCGCAGGTTGGGCTTATCGCACACCGCTCGGGCCATGGCTTCCTGGTTGCGCCGCTCCCAATCGGCCCCCGCATCCAATGCTGCATTGGCTGCGTGGTCTGCGATAATATTGAACTTCTGTTCGCCCCACTCCACAAACGGGAATGTGCTTGAACGTGGCAGGATTCTCACATGTATGGGGCTGCTGCAGCGGGTTTCATCTTCGCCCTCGCTTGAAGGGTGCCAGAACTCCATCTGCGGGCTGCTGGTGGTCGGGTTTGCAGCCGCTACCATGTCTGACCTTCTGCGAAGCTCGATGTCAGAAGTATTGCCACTGTGGCCAAAGCGATGCTGCCCGAAAGTGCGTGCCCCTGTTGGCCACTCCTCCCTGTCGTCCGGCTTCCGACCATCGCCCTCAAACATAGTAGGCACGAAGGTCTCTTGGAGAGGTCCTCGCTTCACGTGAAGTGATGTGGAATACGCTCTCTGCCCACGGAGCTCCCGAATCCACCCCCAAATGATTTTCAGAATACATTTGCGTTCGTCCAAGTCTGCTTCGACACGCCAGCGACATCGGAGCTGTCGGATCTTCTGCTTGACAAAGCGTGTTGCATCGCTCTTAGCTTCGGCGTCCCAGTTGTAGCGCCTACGCGCAATGCGGACCAAACACTCGTTGTGCTGAGACGGCGGTAGCGTCAACACATCGGGCTTCACGACACTATGGAGAAAAACAAATCCCGGACACAACCATGAAGACTCGCCATCGCTCGGACGTCCATTCCCTGTGTTTTTTTCGGTTTCGTGCGTGGTTGTTTCGCCAAATGATCAAGGATGCTCCTCGATGACCCTCGCCGAAGGAAGAATGCACATGTCCGAGCGATGCCAAGGAAGAGCATCTGTCTTGGGCAACTGTCTGGCCCTCTGCGCGCGAGGTAAGGGCGGCTGCCCAGACGCAGCTGTCCGACCCGACGTCGCAATCACAGGCCGATGGTCCTTCTCGATGGTCAGGGCGGAGGATTGCAACAAAAACCCAAGGATTGCAACAACCCAAGGATTGCAACAAAAACCTAGGATTGCAACAAAAACCTAGGATTGCAACAAAAACCGAAGGATTGCAACAAAAACCGAAGGATTGCAACAAAAACCAAATATTGCAACAAAAACCGAAGGATTGCAACAAAAACCCAGGCGGATTCGGCCCGGATGTCCAGGTCATTCATCGGCTTACATACGCCGTCGAGGCGGACTGAAGCTGCGACGTAAGCAATCTGAGCCCTGCGTTGCTCTCGCCGCTTTTGACCGCCGGGCCGTCCGGGACGTCCGACCCGAATGTGTTGAGAACGCGAAGCCCGAGAGCCTGTAGCCAAGACACGGTCCTCTGCTGCATCCCGACGTCGTGCGAAGGCAAAGGTGTCCTGATAGATGGGCCGGTGGTGCCGTCGAGGTCCCTAGGCACAGTGGTAACTTTGGCATCAAATCCTGCTACAACTTGGACGTTCGGACCGGAAAGATAATTACTTTGTTCCCAGAATAGAAATGCTTCCTCCCTGACTTTATCAGGGAAGATGGCGCCAAATATATCAGCATCATCACGGCATTTATGGATCACATGAACGCTGCAAAATTATGTATGACTCCCCCACCAGTGTCCAACACCAAACCACTCCAGTAGCGACCGTGCTGCTTCCCTTTGATGTGCGGATTTGGGCCTCCAGGAACTAGGGGAACCACAATCGAAGCCATCCCGCTGGGCAGCTTCGTCGGCTTCGGATCGACTGCTATGGACAGTAAGCCCAAGTCCCAGTAAGCACCCGGCTGGAAGTCCATCGAGAGACCTCCGGGAGGCAGGTCACAGCCGAGCGTGCACCGAGGGCGCGTGAAAGTCGAGGTGCTTCGCACGGCGGTCGCCTGTGCACGCAAAACGTGACAGCCGAAACCGACCCCTGCCCTCCCTTCCCCGTCTCCGTTCCTCCCCCTTCTCACCCCCCCAAACCTCCCTGCGCGTGGGAGGCGGTCCTGGCCTGGTCCAGCAGGGGCGCAGCTCGGCGCCGCAAGTTGGGCGTCCACGGTTGGGACGAGGGCTTCCGCCTTGCCTCGACAAAGCGACCTGCCAATCTGGGCATGTCTGGCCCGGAGTTTGGCGCACATCCAATAAAACGTAGCAGGAGGGAGGAGGGAGGAGGGAGGAGGGAGGAGGGAGGAGGGAGGAGGGAGGAGGGAGGAGGGAGGAGGGAGGACGGGGGGGGGGGAGGAGGGAGGAGGGCCCCCCGCCCCACCGCCTGCCTTCCCCGATTGGGGAGCAGGAGCAGGAGCAGCAGGAGCAGCAGGAGCAGCGGCGGCAGCGCGCGGCACCTGTCAGGAGCGGCAGAAGAAGAGCGGCAGCACGAGCAGCGGGCAGGAGCAAGTTTGAGAGCAAGCTGGGGCAAGCAGGAGCAGCAACAGAGCGGCGACGGCAACAGCAACATAGCAGCTACAGCAGCGCCAGTAGCCTCAACAGCATCAGCATCTGGAGAATGACAATGATCATGATGACGACGACGACGACGGACGACAGAAGATTCATGGTTGACTGGTGACGATGGCGGCGGCGACGGCCGTCCTGAGCAGTGTCGTCCGACTGGGAAGACGTCAGTCGGCTTCTCGACCGCGCTCGCGACGCCAGCTGGCTCATGCTGGCGTTCGAGATCTGCCGGCCTGGCAGAGCCGAAGGAAGGGGAGGAGTGGAGGAGCTTCCTCCAAGTGGGGGGGGAGGAGAGAAGAAGGGGCGAAGGAGCAGGAGGAGGTGGATTGATGGGGGAATGGGGAGGATGGAGTAAGAGGGAGGGGAGGGAAAGGAGAAAGGAGGGAGGAGGAGGAAAAGGAGGTGCCTCAGAACCGGAAGACGCAGTCGAGAGAGGTCGAGAGATGTTGCCCGAAGCGGCGACGCGTCTGGCTTGTAGGTGCGATGTGCATATACGTTTAGGCACAGCGCCCCACTAAGAGGAAGAAAGGTACCGAGAAGAAAGCCTCCAGAAGACTCCAGGGACCTCCAAAGACATCCGGGAAGCGAAGGAGAGGGAAGACGGGGTGAGATCCGACGTTGCCCAAAAACGCAACATCGCGAAAAATCACGACCTGAGTCCTAGACCCATCTTGCCGCAACATGTTCCAAGCCGGATCGATTTGCTTCACGAAACTCGGCGAAAGGGACCGGTGCGAGAAGATTGCAACGCACGGATCCCAGGGGAGGAGGAAGGCGGAGGAAGAGGAGGGCCAGGACACACCCGGCACACACTTCTTGATTCTGCTGTGCCGCCTCCCGCCCCCAGTCCAAGAAACGTGTGGCGCCCCAAATGTTCCTGGGATCGAAAATGGATGTGGGGTACCAGCCATACTGTTCGGCCCCACGCTCCTTCGCCCCCAGACGTCAGCAGACAGGGCCCTCCCTCTGGAGAGGCGAGGACCAGGCTTGCAAGGTGAGAGCTCTGTGTGATTCGAGCAGGTGCGTCGACAAGCAGATCGAGGTGCAACTGCATCGCGTTACCTAACAGCGTCTGCCAGCGCGACCCCCAAGCAGTGATCTCCTGCACTCTGGGTGCGTAGGCTATGTGCTGCGCGCTGCGTGGTGCAAGCTATGCGGGCTGCAAGAAATGCAAAGCAATCTACAGTCGGACCTAGGACAGAAGAACATCCTTCAAGAACCTGAAATCCTCCGCCGGCCAAAACACCCAAAACCAAAAGATCACTCGAGGGTGCCCTCCCCCAGGATGCACAAGAACATCCAAAAAGCACAAAGAGCACTAGGGCACCCTCCCCGAACCGACCTCGATCTTACACCTCGGCCCGACCGCCTCAAGCGTGGTGAAGCACTGCAGCAATAGCCACGTGCTGCAAGACGCGCGTGTGTGTGCGTGTGTGTGCAAGCTGCGTGGTGTAAGCCAGTCGGTGTCAGCCACGAGGTGCGAGCAAAGGCGAACAACAAGTGACACAAACATAACAACTCGGAGGTCCGCGCGGATTTCTCGGATCGGCGCCGGACCCCCCTCCCTGGCGCGCGGAGCGCGCCAGGGGCGGCGCCGGAGGCGCCGCCAGGGGGCCCCAGCGCCGATCCGAGAAATCCGCGCGGACCTCCGAGTTTTTATGTTTATGCCATTCTTTATTCCCCTAGAGCAAAGCTGCGCAGACTGTGCAATGCAAGCGCTGTAGCGCAAAAGCCGCGCAGGGCGCCCACCCGGCGCCCGTGAGCGCCCACTGGGCGACGCCTGGGCAGACCACGCTGGCACAAGCCCGTCGGCTGGCCCACCTCCGCCTGCCCTCGCCTTTTAGGGCCGCCCCGTTTTTGTGTGTATTGGAGGGCTCCTCCTTAGTGCCTTGAAGGCCCCGATTTTCACTTTCACTTTCCTGGGCGCCGCCATGGGCAGACCGCGCCGGCACGCGCGGGGGCGCCCCCGAGGCGCCCCCGGCCGCCCAGCAAGCGCGGACCCTCCGCCTGCCCAGGCAGCGCACACGGGGCGCCCACGAGGTGCCTGCGGCCGCCAGGCGGGCGGAGCCTCGGCACTTGCCCATCCAGTTTAGGAGACCACATGCGAGCCCTGCCCCTACCCCCCACGATTCCTGAGGGGGAGGGTGGGATTCACCTCGCTCGAGAGCTCCCGAGCGAAGTGAACCCCACCCTCCCCCTCAGGAATCGTGGGGGGTAGGGGCAGGGCTCGCATGTGGTCTCCTAATGACCCATCCAGCTGCTCACCAGGGCAGGTCATCGCCCCACGTGCAGGCACCGCCTGGGCAGACGAACTCGAGAGGGGATCGCGCCCTCCGCCCACGCAGCTAGCAGAAGCGTCACGAACCTGGGCGCGGCTGCGGAGCGAAGACGTGACTTCGGAGCAAAACGTCCTCCAGATGCGTGCGACTAGTGGGAAATCAAACTGCCCGATCATGCGAACTATCTCTGGCGAGCAAAACCACTTCGAAGAGGACCCTTCCTCCACCCATGCAGCTGTACAAAAACATTATGCCACGTCCTCTCTGCGTATACGGCACTATCGTTTCACGCGAGAGCCAGATGTTTAGCCGATATTCGAGACTGTCCTCCATCTGCGTGGAAGGTTGGCAAGTCACGCTCGATGAACTGAAATCTGGAAGGACGATCGAGCAGCAACCGCATGCTGAAACCGGAGCCGTCCCCCATCCGTGAGTCTGTTCACGATCACAGCGAAGTCCCTCGCGAGACATGGCGAGACCCTCCGTCCGCGTAGGTGTCGCGAGCTTTGAGGAGTGCGTGCGGTGGCAGGGCGCGGGCCACGATACGAAACACCAGGCGCCCTTCATCCGTGTGACCGCTGGGAGCCTTCAGAGACGAAGTTGCGCGGCGCGGGGGCGACGGCCCCATTCTGAAAACTGATCTCCCTCCACCCATGCAGCTCTTGATCGTCTAAAGACGGGTTCGCGCGGCGTTGAGGCGAGGGCCACATTTGGGAGGCCAGCCTCCATCCATCCGCGCATCTGTCGGGGGTTTCAGGCGTCAGGAACACGAGTCGAAAGGAAGCCTCTCAAGCGAAACGCCCAGAACGCCCTACCGACACGTCTGGTGGACCGGCGGAGGTAATCCGCACGCGCGCTCGGGTAGCCGGGGGCGCTCGGCATACTGATTGTCTGGCTGCAAGATGAGAAAAGAACAGGCGGCGAGGGGCGAAATAACGAATTTATGATAAGCAGGGGGTTAGGGTGGAGGGGAAAGGAAACGAAGAGAAGGAGAAGGGCATTCCACCAACGAGAGAGAGAGAGGAAGCGGTAGCACGAGGAGGAGTGCACGGAGGAAAAATAGGACAAGAAGAAGAGGACGGGAAAGGGAGGAGAAGCAAGAGGAGGATGAGAAGAGAAGGGTGCGACTGCCGAAGGCGAGCCGGGCCACCCTGGCCGTGGAGGAAAATTCAGCAGAGCCAGCGAGTCGACGAACACGAAGAAGACGAAGAGCCACCAGAGAAGGACGGCAATACAGTAATACGGCTAGCAACGCTGCTGGCGAGGCATCCTCAGATACATGAAGAGAGAGAGAGAGAGGTACGCAGAACATGCACACGATCACCACTGCCATCGCGACTAACACTAAGACCATCATGGTCACGAATACACGCATGGCAGACTCACCCGAGGGTCACTCACGCGCGCGTTGATCTGTTGCACTTGGCATGGAAGAATCGGGTCCTGAAGGAAACGGGTCCTGGACCCCGGGGTCTTCCCCAAGGACCAACTTTCCCTCCCGAGTCGGTTTTCTGACAGTCCCGCTGCCCAAGAAGGGCCCCGAGAGGCCCAGAACGGATAGCAACCTCGATGGTCCTCGCCGAGGAAAAGAAAGCACACGTCCGAGCGATACCAGGGCTGGCGGATGCAGCCACGTTTACTTCCGCCGACCTTCCGCTGCCTTCCGCCAGGGAAGAGATGGCAACGCCTTCCATCCTCGCAGGCGAGGCCTTTTCAGGAGCGCCTCGTGCTTAGCGGCTCTTCAATGCATCGGCGACGGCATGAGCCACGTTGCTCGACTCCCTGGGCACGACCGGGAAGGCGTGGTGCGCGTCCGCCGTCCGGGTGGGCCCAGGCCAGAGGTCGAGCAGGCCGGCGTCTGCCCAGAAGACGCGCTGGGACGCCTCGTGCCTGCAGATGACGACGGAAGAACACAAGACAGCCCGAGCAAAACTTTCGGAGCTCCAGGCGGACCTCTCGAATCGGCGCTGGGCCCCCCTGGCGGCGCCGCCGCCCCTGGCGCGCAGCGCTCGCCAGGGAGAGGGGGGCCCGGCCCTGATCCGAGAAATCCGTGCGGGGCTCCGGAAGTGTTGTGTGCTCATGCTGTATGTTCTTCTTCCAGGTGAGGTGCGTCGTGGCGGGGTGCTTGACGCGATCCTGACTAGGTACCAGACCACACCAGCCCAACCCGAAGTCCCAAATTTCGGGTTGGGAGTCGTACGGATTCCATCCGTGTTTCTGGGTGCCCCCCCCGCTGGGAATAGAGGACAACTTGGGGCCTCCAGGTTGGCTTGCGGTGGTTCGGCCAGAGAGCCCAGAATCGAGTCGACACGTCGGATCGGCGATCGACATGAAGCGGCGGAGATCGGCAGGCCTCCCCCGAGAAGTCGGCATCCACATCGGCACCCGACATCGCACCGAAGCGGGCTCGGACGCCACCGATAACCCGAAGCCGATCGGGTCGATCGGAGGAGCCGCCACACGCAAGAGTGACCCTGGGTAAGAGTGACCTTTGGTGCGCAGCCTTTCGGGGGCCGCGCGGGGACCAAACCTGGGCGCGCAGGCCGCTGCTGCCGCTTCGTTGTCGGCCATCCGAGGGCCCACCTGTGCTCGCACCAGAGGTCACTCCGGCGGAGGGTCACTCTTGCGTCTGGTCGAGAGGAGCCGCCACGCGCCCGGGCTTTTGGTGGGCCGTGCGCTCCGGGTCGAACTCCGTGATGGAGTCGATGTGGTCGGCTTCCCAGGCGGCCAGGCGCAGCATGCGCTCGACCTCGGCGGGGGGCACGGCCCCCCTGCCCGCGCCGAAGAGGTGGACGAAGAGGCCCTCGCTGACGGCCAGGCGCACCAGGGTGAAGAGCCAGAGGAGCGTCCACCGGACCAGCGCCCAGCTGGCCCACCAGAGCACCCACCTCGACAGCTGGTTCGGCGACCGCATCAGGAACGGCGCGACGAGCACGCACGCCCGGAAGGGCTCCTCGCCGTGCAGTCGCAGCGCGTGCAGGGCGCCGTAGGAGTGCGCGATCAGCACCGCGTCGCGATGACCCGCCAGGCGCTGGCGCAGATTGTCGTAGTGCTCTTCTGGAGCGCCTTCGTATTTGAGCACCGTCGCCTCTATACCCCTCTCTGCCAGAACACTGCAAAACACGTCGTACGCACACGTGACATCAGGGTTACCGGGACACACGATGGCGCGCATCGCGCAAACAACGACGCACTTTCGCGCGACCTACCTGAGCCGAATGGCTAAGGATGTCAGAGTGCAACATGAAGCAGCTTTTGGGGGCCCAGGGACTCCTAAGCGAAATCTGGACTCACGCAAACGCGAGCGAGGCGTTTCAAAGCAGCCCTCCCTCATCCCCTGCCGAGGGGGAAAGGGGAGGCAAAGGCAGAGGAGGAGAAATTGGCTCGGGGGCCAGTTTTGCCCGGAGAGCTGCGCAGCTCAGGTAGGCCCTGGAGGTGCCCTCCTCATCCGCCCCTCCCTCGACCCTCCCCCAGCGCCCCCGCTCCGCCACCCGCCCTTCCCCCCCTCTGAGCCTCGTTCCCCCTCCTGCGGTCCTCCTTCCCCTCCCGACTGCCCGCTCCCGCCCTCCTTGAACTCCCCCCTGCCCTCCCCCCCCTCGCCACCATTCCCCCCCCCCCTCCCTCCCTCCATCCACCCCAGGACTGAGTCGTGCGTGAGCTTGCCTCCGAAGTGCAGGCTGCCCTCGAGCAGTGTGCCTGCCGTTCGCCCCCCTCCTGGCCTGGCACGGTGTGGCGCGGCCCCGTGTGTGCGTGTGTCTGTGCGAACATCTGCCCGGAAGCGCCTGCCGTCGCGGGAGCTTCCGCGGCCCCGCAGGCGCCCTCCGCCACCTCGCCAGCGCCGCCCGGGCTTCGCCTCCCCGGCGGTGGTACCGTCTCGCCGCCTCCTTCAGCCTCCTCGCGGCTGTAACCCGCACGCTCTGGTCGGGCGCGTGCGTGCCGTCCTCTTCCGCCTAATTAGCTGTCGCCTGGCGGGACCCCCCCCCCACGGTCCGTCGCTTTCTCGCCGTCCCTCGTCGCTCCTTCTCACCGGCCACCCGCGCCTGGGTGGCCTATGGCGCGGATCGAGTTTCCCGCTTCCGAGGACCCGGCGCGCGCGGGGTTTGCGCGCGGTGGTACTCTACTTTCTACGCCTCGTCGCTGCGCGCGAAGCTACGACCGCCCAAAAAGTGTGCGCGCGTGTGCTGTGAGTATGTGCGTGTGTGCGCGTGTATGTGTAGATGCGTGTGTGTGTATGTGGTGCGTGTGTGTGTGTGTGTGTGTGGGTGTGTGGGTGTGTGGGTGTGTGGGTATGTGGGTGTGTGCGTGTGCGTGCGTGCGTGCGTGCGTGCGTGCGCGTGTGTGTAGATGCGTGTGTGCGCGCGTGTGCGTGTGCGTGTGCGTGTGCGTGTGTGTGTGTGTGTGTGTGTGTGTGTGTGTGTGTGCGTGTGTGTGTGTGTGTTTGTGTGTTTGTGTGTTTGTGTGTGTATGTGTGTGTGTGTGTGTGTGTGTGCGCGAGCGTGACGCTGTCTCAACTTTCTCACTCCCCACCCTGCCCAGGGGGCCGTATGCGGTCGATCCAACGTGGCTCCGCGTCGGAAGGCCTGGCCGCGCGCGTTAGCCCTGTGCCGTCTGCTCGACTTGCTCCGCCTCGACGCCTGCGCGTGAGGCCGCGATCGCCAAAAAGCGTGTGTGTGTGTGTGTGTGCTTGCATGTGCGGTCGGCTGTCGACAGTGACGGCTGGGTTCGCAAATTGTCTGGCTCTGTGCCCCAGTCAGCCCGATTGACCCGCCCTCTGGACTCTTCCTTGGGGCCGCAGATCAAAAAAAGTATGTGTGTGTGTGTTTGTATGTGTATTCGGTTGGCCTTGTCGTAGCGTAGCTATACTCATGCCCTCCCCTCCCCTTCCCTCCTCCTCCCCCAGGAGGTCTGTGGAGGCCCCGGGGGGGGCCCCGCGAAGGCCACGGGAGGCTCCCAGAGGTCCAGCCGACGCAAGCAACATCGTCGGTCCTCGAACATCGAGCCTCGATCCAAAAACATCCATTCCAGATCCTCGCAGCCTCGATCCTCGACCGTCGAATCACCGACCCCCCCAAACCTCTATCCACAC